AAGGGATACTCTATGTGGGACCTACTGTTGCCCACACCCGCCGATTCTGAGACTGCTTCCAATCGAGATTTAATAATAAAATAACAGAATATAATGGGAGGTGCGTGACCAATGTCAGTATTTGAGGTCCCTCCTCATATAGTAGGGGAGCACTTGCTTGCTTATCTCTGCCAATTCGGGTAGATATTCAGTGCCTTCTCTGACGATTGACCTGGGAATGGACCTTCGAGTTGATGATCGATGGAAAGACCCGTACTGCCTAGAATTACAGGCCCAGAAAATGCCGAACATTGTAACCGGCCGTAAGCCAACTTGTGGGACGTGTGGATAGACCTCGTTCCACTGAAGTCCCATTCCCTCAATTAGTTCCAAGGGCGATTTCCCAACGAGCTATTTCGATGACCTAAGAAAGCAGAAACTGAAATACGAACCATCTTTTGAAAAGATGAATAACTGCAGCAGTTAAAAGAATATTTAAAGGCGAAACGTCAAATCTAACTCTTCTTTTTCAGCAACGTCTTCTCCTACTGTCAAATAATATAATATGGCTCCACCACCCATGATTAAATCATTAACCCCAATTCCTTCGGTAATGACTATCATCAAGAAGGCTCCCATCCCGAAAACCCCAGCCAGTAATAAGTCTACCCCTGCCAATAGCCCTAATCCATCTCTTCCTATTACTCCCATAAATACACCTTAAAATAAATCTGAAAAACACACACATCATCCACGGATTCAGCTGAACCTTCACCAAAGAAAAAAATCAAAACCTGACTAGTGTACTGAAAAAATATCTGCTGGTTATCACAGCACCGACATGATAAAGCTGTGATAAAATCTCGGTAAATCAAGAACTTAAAAACATTAATGACCCTAAAAAATCAGTGGTCTGGACGTGGAAAACCCATCAAATTTTCTGAATGCCAAAAGACTCTTGACGTTCGGTAGATCTGTTAATGGGGTTAACAAATTTGGCAATTGATAGAGAAGGCCGTTGGCATTTTTAATGATGCCTCATGTTAAATATCAAATCAGGTTTGTTCAGAGAGGACTCGGGTTTTGTTCGCCCCTCTCTGTATAGAGCATTAAATGTAACCTTCCCCTGGGACACTAGTGGCCTGTCTCTTGATGGCACCATCAAAACTGAGATGGGCAAAATATCTATAGGTCATAACAAAGGCTTCCTCCCTCTGGCCATGTTCAATGCAGAAGAGAAACCCTAATCCGTTTGATAGTGGAACTTTGGTTAGCTAGCGTGAATGCCCGGGGCCTGAGATCGGAGTCTCTCGTGACCTTCAGCGTCTTGGGGCGAATATATAGTGTCCAGGAGACCCGTTTTCATTCGTGATTATATCTAGTGGGTTCACCTTATATTCAGCATGTTTTGGTGGTCGCTTGAGTGTTGCCTCTTGGCTGGTGAGCAAGTCTTTGAAGGCTGCGTGTGCTCTTGTCTTCGCAGGTCCGCCGGGCATGCTTTGCGGGATGGATGTTACTATAAAGGCTCTTCGTGTCATTGGGGTTTATGCGCCCAATGATCATTCAGAATGACCTGATTTGTTTCGGCGGATCGAACCGTTTTTGAAGACATCTCGTCGGTTAGTTTTGGATTGGAATGCCGCCCTTGAACTCGATATAGCGTCAAATTCTGTTACTAACAACCGGGACGTGAAACCATTTCGGGACTTTAAAGATAAGTTTGATCTTGTCAATAAATACCGTAATGAATACGCTCGTCATAAAGTATGGACTTGAACTAATAGGTACAACTAAGCTAAAGAGGTGCGTTTTAGCATCCTCGACCGTGTCTTAGTCTGGAATGTTGATGTATTGCTATTAGGATGTTCAAATTTCAACTATACATTTTATTCGGATCATAGTCTCACCCGGGTTCGTGTGAACTTGCATAAGCCTAAGGTTAGGATGGATGGCTAACGGGAAATAGAACTCTTCATTGTTTACAAGATTTCCGGGACCAGATTCTACTAGTGCTACAGCGGAAATTGACGAGGACTGTGATTGGGAATGTGACACATTAAAATCTAAAATTAGAACATTTGCTACTGATTATAGTCATCGGCTCAATCTAGATAGATTAGCGACGCAAAGAGCTTGTGAGAAAAAAGTCGATTGGGCGATTAAATCCCGTGATAGTGGGGACGTAGCTTTAGCTAGGGTAGAATTGGACTCCTTGATTATCAACAAGGATTAGGCGCTGGTAGTTAGAGTTTGGTTAAAAAGAATGTCCTCGGAAGTAACGAATATGGATGCTGAAGTGCGTGCAGAGGACGTCTGGAATGCATCTCAGAGACATTGCCGGATAATCGGAGTGTGTCTACAAACGCTGGCATATGCGAGGCTTTTCTTGAATATTTCAGGATCTCTTCACCAAGGAGTTCTGTCTGAGCACTGCTCAGTTCGACGCCTTTTTAGCTGATTTTCTCTACATTGAGGCAGCTGAAGCGACTGGGTGCGTGGGTCCCATTACAGAGTGAGAGATTTGGTAAGCGCTGAAGCAGATAGGCCGGAACAATTCTCCGGGATTAGATGGTCAACTCTACGAACAGTCGCCTGTTTTTTAGTTGTTTTTTTTTCCATTGCTGGTATTGAGTTTTAACAACTGGTTGAAGCAAGGGTCTATACCACAACGCTTCAGCAGGGGTGCAATGAAGTTGTTACGCAAAGACAAGAACGTTAAATTTCGGCCTCTGTTAAATACAGAGTTGAAGATTTTAGCCAAGATCGTAGCCACCATTTTGCAGGTTGTCCTCTCCAGTCTGATTGGCTCCGAGCAGACTTGTGCTGCGAAGGGTAGGATTATTATGGGCAACCATCATACGTTACGCTTGATCATCGAGCAAGTCGAGAGTGAAGCCGCGCTGGTCAATTTATTTTGTCCAAGGCATTCAATAGGGTTGGCCATCGATTTCTGGAGGCTGTCTATTCGGCGGCTCTCTTCGGGCTGTATTTTCGCACCATGTGTCTCTCTTTGCTCTGATGGAAGTGAAATGGTGTATGATCGGAGTCTTTCGTATTTTCTCTCTCCATTCGTCAAGATTGTCCGCTTTCGCCTTTGCTTTATGTTCTTGCGTTGGAATCCTTCCGAAGCGCGTTAAAGACGAATCCTGTCCTACGCGGAATTTCCCTACTTGGTGAGGTCACCTTGGCCAGGTATTCTGTCTCTGCTGACGACCTTTCAGTTCTTGTGTTGAGCAAAGTCAGCAATGAAATCACAGGGTACGGGACGGTGACAGAGTCTAAGATCAACTGCAATAAATCCATTGGCTTGCAGTTGGGTGCGTGGAAAGGAGTTTCTCTTCCCGGACATTTCCTCTGGACGGACGGGCCGGTCAAAATATTCGGTTTCTGGTTCGGCCCCGACCTCCAGTTGGAAATGAATTGATCGGAGGTGCATGAGAAGACCGTGATTACAGTATCTCTGTGTTCCTGGAGGAATCTTTTCATAAAGTGGAGGACGGAAGTATGAGACTCTCACATCTACTCGATTATCTTATGCCAACTCTCCATGATTCCACTTCCCTATACCCCCCTAATAGCATTAGTAAAGATATTTTTCTCTTTCTTGTGGGAAGGCGAGGCCGCGAAGATACTGCTACCTTCACCCTTCTGAAAGAGGTCTGGGTATGCCTAGCGTTGATTTTCGTCAACATACGCTTCGCATTGCGTTCCGACATCGAATGTGTCGTGATTTGGATGAGGGGGAAGGAAGACGCCCGTAAAAACTTCCCATCCTAGAAGCTGTTTAACGTGTGTTGTAGTGAATTAACTGAGTTAATATGACCAAGAAGAACACATTCTGCAAGCTTTTGGTGACGATACAGGTTTCAGCACAAGTCAAGTGGTCCTGGCTTGTAGTATATCTCATAGTATCGCATGGATACCAGCTTCAGTATCGGTATCATTTGTAAAAATTTTGTAAAAATATTTTCAGTTTGTATTTTGGATTATATATTTAACAGCGTTTACTGTAAACTTTAAATTTAATAACTCAAAAATGAAGGATTTGTGGGCATGATTATATGGACTTTTGTCCTTTTTTTTAGTGTGTGAAACCGATCAAAAAAGTTTGTATATATATATATATATATATATATATATATATATATATATATATAAATGTAAAAGAAATAGGAAAATCTTTATAAATATTGTCTTTTTCATAGGTTAACTTTGAGAAATTTTTATATATATATATATATATATATATATATATATATATATATATATATCAGTCTTTTCAGTATTATGAGGTGATTTACTTCCTCACCTTTTTATTTGCAATAGCGTGTAATTTCAGTATCTTGATCATGCAATTATTTTCAAATTACATGTACAATCCAATTTAGTTGTTGCCGCTGTTGAAAGTCTTCATGTGAAGCGGTTACTGCTATGTGTTGATCTTTGATTCTGGAGCGGCATTGTACGCGATCCGGCGAAGTAAGTTCCGTCTTCAAAACTCATTGCGTTCATTCACTAGAAGTCATTGATAACTAATGATATGATAAAACGACTATATACAGCTGATAGCTTCGACATCTCGCTATGAATTAGACACCATATATGACATCTAAATGAGAGTCTGCAGAGTCTAGATATGAAGAGGCTGTTTAAGAACATAACTTAATGGAAACTTGAGAAAAAGAAATCAGAAATTCAAACTTGTATGTCTATTAGTGAGAGTCCAGCGCCATATTTTTGCTTATATTCATTTAGGTGGAATTTATTGCTGCGTTTTCGTTACAATGGAAGTGGGAACCCATCCGCGATTCCTAACGGAAGCTAGCCACGCAATGCAGATCAAAACAGACGACATTTGTACGATGTCTTCTATGTTCGATAAAACTGAGACGAGTACAGTGTCAGTCCGCCTGTCCTGGCAGACATTCAATTGTGTCTGTTCGTAATGGTGGAACAGTGATTCTTTTCTATAATCTGTTATATGAATGAAAATTCTGCCACTTTTATTATAGGTTCACAATATGAAAGTGTTTCTCTGGGAATCTTCCCTTTCATTTTCTTATCTATCTATCTATCTATCTATCTATCTATCTCTCTCTCTCTCTCTCTCTCTCTCTCTATATATATATATATATATATATATATATATATTATGGAAGTATAAGGCAAATCTAGGTAATCACTCTGGTGATATATTTAGCTTTTCCGAATGGAAATTATTAATTTATTTAAATGGTGTGAAATAGGGGTGAGAGACAAAAGCCTCCAAAAAACAAACTTTATATGTATTTATGTGTGTGTGTGTGTGTGTGTGTGTCTGTGTGTGTGTCCAAACATTGTTTTATTAAATAACATAGACAAAATCTGTCTATTGAGTTTTTATATTATCGTTTCAAATCCCGTCTGAGGAGGTTTACGTCGGGATTAAGATTTTTAACAAAATGTCCAAAGTTAATTTTTGTTATACAAAGGGTGTGATTTGGAGAAAGATTTATTCTGCCTTTTCGATTTCTCCCATTAAGGGCATTATTATATCCGTGATATAATAGCAGCTTAGTTCACAGAAGGGACGGAAGGGAATGACTGAAAGGAAAAGAATGGCAAACATGCTTTGATCTCTGAGTGACTTTTATAATAATAAAGACATCCACAAAACTCTCTCTCTCTCTATATATATATATATATATATATATATAGATACACGCACACACACATACACACACACACACACACACATATATATATATATATATATATATATATATATATATATATATATATATATATAATATGTGGTGAATTCAATTTATATTACAATGAATCATTCATACAAAAAGTAGATTATTAGTAAAGTTAATGATATAAAATGGCGAAATACTTTTGCAAACAAGCGTCATGAAAGCAAAAGAAGTACTTGTCGCAGATTACTTCCACAACACAAAGAAAAATCACTGTCAGTACAGACTCGAATATCGGGGGGGGGGGCAGAAAGAAATGCTGAAAACTCGATTCGCCGGTACTATCTCAAATCACAAAAAAGGTGGTCAAAAAGGCCCGAATTTTCCGATCTCGAATCGAGAACACCAATGATTTTATCGGCAGAACCTATTTTTTTCATTCGTCGACAGCTGGGATACGATGTTCCGTAATTTGCATATCAAAATACTTTTATAGCAACTCCGGCGACGGACTTGTTTTTTTTTTTTTTTTATTTAATTCAAATATTCCATTTTCAGCATGTTATGCGGAATACGTGCCCCTTTTGTTTGGTAAGTAATTTTTTTTTCGCCACTTTTTCCGTCGTAGAATACACGCGACACGCTGTCGCTTGGTTTGGCGAGGTAAGTCGCCGTTTTCTTCGCTATAGTTCCATTAACCTACAAATCACTAGATAAATGTATGATCCTTATTTTTAATAAGTTCTACCATCATGGCCCGGCGTTGTCGGGCTTAATCCAAAAACCGTACAACTCATACAGCAATAGCTATCACTTGACTTAAAATATTTTTGCTCTTCCTTGCCTTTAAAGGAGTGTCCTTTGCCGTGCTGATGTTGCTACATGCCTTACTTCTTGCCTATCTCACACTGCGAATTTTTTGTAAACTCTATACTAAACATTAAATCTGTTACGAAAAAAGAACTAAATAAAATGAACACAAAACGATCAGCTTTAAAAAAGGACTTGTAGCTGGGAAAACCGAATGAAAAAAGAATGTTAACAATATTGGTCAGTAGAAAATGGCCGCAAACTACACGAAAACTGTCGTAGAAGCATGCAAAAATCGATTATTTCCACTATTAATGGAACTTGGGAAATGCAATGTCGGTCTTGGCCTTCCCGCTAACTTGGAGCATGTGCATGTAAATTTTGGTGCAAATCCGTCGAAAATTGCGGCCGTGCATTCGTTACACACACACACACACACACACACATCCTGTCTTTTATAGATAGAGATAAGCTGTATAAGTTTTTTTTTTTTAATGTGCAAGTAGTTTCGACTGTGCATTCAGTCATCCTCAGGCGTGGAAATTATTTTGCTTTTACTAAAATCCAGGTAGCATCAGAGACAAAAAAATTAAATGAAAATCGAAATATTTTTCTTGAAATGTGTTATTTTTAACGGATATAAACTTTTGGAGCGTGCAGTCGCAACGCTAAAGTTGAATGTTTTGAGAATTTAAGAGAATGCGTTTTTGACTAATATTTTTAATTCAATTTTTTAATTTTATTTAATTTTTAAATAATTTAATTTTTTCTTCTCGGATACTACCTGGATTTTACTGAAAACAACATAATTCCCCTCCCTGAGGATGACTGAATATACAATTGAAAGTACTTGCATATTAAAAAAAAGACATTATACTACTTAAAGTTATTAAAAACGAGGATCATAACATTCATCGAGTGATTTGTAGGTTAATGCAACTTTAAAATTTTGTTTGCGAAAGGATTTCCCCATATTATATCATTAACTTTACTAATCTACTTTTTGTATGAATGATTCATTGTAATATATATATATATATATATATATATATATATATATATATATAAATACGTGTCCCACGAGAAGAAGAATATATCTACACATCAAGGAAAAGTTTAATAAGAAACAAAAAGAATGATCTTACATCTAATATTGAGATATTCCTGTAAAGTGTGATGATCTGCATTCCTTTAAAAGGACTGTGGTAAAATAATTTATTACATGGAACCTTAAATTGGTCTGTTTTTATTTAAATTATATATATATATATATATATATTATAAATGTTATAAAACCACTAAAAATTAGCCATTTTGGTGTCTTTTGGTGTCTTCTGGTGTCTTATCAAGTGATGGTGTTGAATGATTCAATACCATCCCTTGATAAGACACCAGAAGTGTTGAAACAAAATCGCTATTTTTTAGTGGTTTTATAACAATTTTATGTTATAATTTTCGAATAATTTATTATATTTGCTCTACTCTGCATTGAGCACTCTTTTACGAATAGTATTTGCTGGTTATTGGAATTTATTCCGGATACACCAATCCTATATATATATATATATATTCTTACTTATGATATAATATACTTTATAAATATAAGCATTAGTGATTAAGTGTAGTAACGAATAATAAATTTGTAATATTAACATTATATATTTTAATAACAGTTCCCTAGATTAGCAACGGCATCAAACTATCTAACATTAACATTCTCATTTCGCTTAAAGACCTTGAAAGATTGGCAACATATTCTTGAGTTAGCACAAGACACGGAGGTCTGGACTGATAAAAGTTATTGACAAAAACGCTGAGGATGAGTGACAATACTGATTTCAAGTCGAAACGGTCCCGATATCATTAAAAGTTATCTAATGTAGTATTTATTCCTGCTTTAGGCCTGCCGTTTTCTTTTTAGCTAAGGAATCACGGTCAGTCAACTACTCGCTTAATGCAAGTGACACGCCCCATCTCATTGAAATATCGAAACACTTAACTTTTTAATTTAACTGTATCATGTTAAAAAATAAAACAATTTAGGATATTTTTTTTTTAAAAAAAAACTGAGTGAAATTTATTAAAGGTAATCTCAGCAAAGATAAAATTAATTTTAAAATTCTGTTTATACATCTCACATAAATTATATCTTGTTTCCATAATGCACATTTATTTGTCAAAAAAAAACAACTTATTTTTTAGATGACGACAAGGTATTTGAAAAAGCTGTCAAGCTAAATTTTCCAAATTGACTTGGTCTTCAAATTCTACCCTCAGTCAGATTCCATAAAAGTGTTCCCTACTTCAATAAATGGGATATTATCAGAGATACTCCTTGATATCTGCGACAGAGGGAAGAAAGTGATTTCTGAAGTAGACAGTATCCATACCTCTCGAATTACTCTGCTAAAAGGAATATCTCTCTTCTTGAGTGACAATTTAATACTTTTGAAAACATATTTCTTCATGTGATATCATTACTTGATGACAGACGAGGGAAGCTGTTAATGAAATTGCTCTACAGACGCTTTTCACTTAACAACTGTGTCAATAAGTGAACTTTTTGCAAAATATCCGCGGTTTTAGATGTTTTTAGAAGTTGTTGTAAGATGTTCTCCTAACTCGCCTATCGTTTTTTTCAAATAAAAGAAAAAAAAAACACCAGACAATTTTTAACGAATGTAAAAGATCACACATAAATCTCTATTGATGTTTCTGCTCGTTGTACTCCTGAAGACAGTCTTAGAAGGGGGAAACCATATTTGCTGAGTATTACCGTGTGTCAAGTCAATTCCATCGCGAGTTCAAATAGAATTCTTACGATTTCTTCAAAAGGTGACAATTGTAATGCTTTCATGTGACATACGCCGCTGGATGTAACAAACATGATGTGATTCCTGTGAGTTGCACAACCGAAAAATGAAAGAAAATATTTTATTTTGTCCACAGGTATAATGCTCGACACAACAATATGACTTCAATAGAACTTGCGAAACATTTTATCAAGAATCACTGTAATTCTGACCAACTAATCAAGGTACACATTATGTTCTCGCCTGATAAGACTGTCATTTTAAAAATCAAAACTGTTGTGAAATGTATAATGGTGAACCATCAGAGAATTTAGATTGTTCTATATCTGTTGTAGAATATATCTGCGTTGTTTGTATAATCATTTTTTTGTTTCCTGGATGTTTCACCGATGTACATTAGTGGGCATTTTGTACAGTCTATTTTGTATATTCCGCCTCTGTTCTGTTGTTCTTGCTATCTCATTTGATATTATTTTTTTTAGATGTGGTATTGATGAATTTTATGTCAAGAGTCGACAGTTTTTTTTTGTTTTTTTTATGGTGGCTTTTATGGAGACGATATGTAGGATTATATCTTCATAGATCCGAAGATATTTTCTTCTATCTCCATCTCTCTTTCATACACACACGCACGCGCATCCATTAATTTATATATATATATATATATATATATATATATATATATATATATATATAAAAATATACATACTAGCTCAAATATCTAGTACAAATTTGAACTCAAACTGAAATTTGTATCGTAAAAAAAAAGTCAGTTTATGCTCAATAAAACAAGATAGCGTCGTGCATGAAACTCAGACTTGTACTAGAGGACATTCAAATATATATATATATATATATATATATATATATATATATATATATAATGCTCTTTTCATTACATTGAGCAGTTGGAATTTTTCATGACATATATCCACACAAACACACACAGAGGGACACGCACACAAAAACACACACGCGCGCAAAATACACACACACACACATATATATAAATATATATATATATATATATATATATATATATATATATATATAGTAAATAATTTTTTAAAATGCTATATTCTTTGGAAATTGTGTTCGAATTAATGAAAACATATTTAATTTTAAAATTAACACTTATAGGGTGTTCCTAAAAAATTGACATGAATTAAAATGTGAATATCTGAGTAATTGCATGTCCCTGGGCAAACGAAATTAAATAGACTTCACGTTGAACAATCAAATATTTATTAATCTAAATTCGAACAAGTTATTCAAAAGGATGTAGATCTCAAAACTGATTTCCCAAAGCTTCACGAATTTTCAATATGCGACCAATGTGATAAATTTTTTAAAAATTTCAGTCCAGCTCCTGTCAAACACGTTTAGCATGTCTTGCATGACATTCTTTTTATCAGTATTTTTTTATTATTCGTTCCGCTAGGCTCGCATTAGAGTATATAGATATGTCCTATCATATAGCCCCATTTAGAAAAAACAAAAAATAAGTCAGATGAACGCAAAATGATTAAACATATATTGTCATTAATATACTGTTACGCCTAATCCATCCTCCTGGTGTCATTGGAATAAGTCCGAGAACTTAGTTTTTTTTTGGGGGGTGCATGGTTTGAGATCATTTGAGAGAGAATTGGTTATGTTATTAGACTATAACATGTAGATGTTTTTGGACACACTGTATTTACTGACAATGCCAAACTCACTTACTTCTAAATTCAATCCACTCATACAAGTTTCAATTTTATGCCAACTTGGGATATTCTTCAAATTCTATGATTTTATAATTTCATCAGCCTGCCCATTCTTGTCCTTAACTTTAAAACTTTTTGTGAACAGTGTTGATGTCTGATGGTCTTGATTGCTAATATGACTGACTCTGTCTTTTCTTTTTTTTTTTTTTACCCAAAGCCACCTCTCAGATCCGACAATTGTCTCTGTCTACGGAGAAAAAAAAAACATTAAGTTTCTTTTCTTTTAACTTGTCACACCAGTTCCCGTTACTCTGCTTAGTTGCTACTGTCGTTCGCCAAAGATATCGTACTTCTAGATCTCCGTCTATTCTTCGTGAGGCTGTTGATGCAATTCATGAGAACTCCTGCCATATTTCTCAAGTCCCGAGTCAGCCAATGGCACATCTTCTACACTTAGTACCAACCAATCTCCCTTCTTTCTTAGAATGTAGAGTAGGGCAGGTTGATATTTCAATTCTCAGTGTGTTAGCTGCGGTTTGATGCGATAAGTACTGACATCAACAATTAGATAAATAGCTTTCACCAATTTTTGAGCATTTAGTTTTAAATATCGTCTGGAAATTGTACAGAAATATCTAATTTCCGCAAGATTTTGCTTACGAATTAACTTCACAATTTTACTATTTCCCGCATAAATCGAAATAAATTTGATATATTTTGTGCTAGATTCATTGAGGGGGAAATATATTCAAACCAAAATCATAATTATGAATCACCACAAGGAAAATATGCAATTTTATGTATCCGATAAGTAAAATCTCTGTAAAAAAAATATAGAAGATTGCAAAAATGGCTACTCAATGAATAGGATTTGTTATACCATTTTTTGATCATCATTAATAAAAACAAAAAAGTATATAACACTGTTGAAACTTGACTAATGCATGGAATAATAATACAACACAAAATGTACTTAGAACAAAATGTATTGAAACAAGAAAGTGTATACAATATTTACATATAGTCTTTTGTATATTCTTGGGAAGACCGTTCCTGGAGAATGTGTTGACTTAGTCGCAGTCGGACAGAGTCTCTGGATTGAATCTCTTGATTCCTCCCACCGTCTTCCCGGTACCAGCCATAATTATATGGTCGGTACTCCACTATGCAAATTAGGTGGATCCTACCACAACAAACACCATAATACTGAGGATAAGAAACTAGAAGACAAAATGTTTTTATTTTTCATTATTTATTAAGAACTACTGTACTGTATAACATATTACATTATAATATAGCTGAATTGTTCAGTATAATTTCCCTTTGAAATAAATGAATGTTTTATTTGATGGCATAATGATTTAATAATAATTTTCATGGGACATTTTAAAAATTTGTAAAATTCAGAAAATAACATTTTTATCTGAACTCTGCTTTATTTCTTACTTTCAAAATTGAATGAAAATTTAATTTTATTTTGTTGAATCTATCATTTTTTAAACGTATCGCCCCAAGGAGAGACATCAAGCCAACTAACAGTTTAATACAAATATAATAATTTATATGGATTGTCTTCGAGTATAGAACCCAGGGTTGGCATTGAATATTTCATAGATAGTATATAAGCGTTCGCAGGTTCGCACCATCGCAAAAGGTACAGGTTTTAAAATTCTTCCGTCTATCCTGTAAAATTCAAGTTGCCTCTGGTCATTCCGGTAGGAAAACAAAGATTCACCGATATTATAATACGGATACAGTGTTGTGCGGCTTCTGATTGGTCCAACCTTCTAAATGGTCGACTATATAAGGAAATAAGTCATTTTGACTCGCTCACTAGTTATATATGTTATATACCCAAAAAAACCGTAACAGAGAGTTGGATCGAGGTCGAAATCGGCTGAAAAAAAAAAAAAATAAAAAGAAACAATTTAAATCAAACATACGTCGATTGACATTACATTTGAATAGTTGGAGAATATAGCAATCAATGAAACAGAAAAGATTATCGGTCCTCTGGTGGAAAGAGGTTTGAGACATGAAGCTTTTGGCCTGTAGAAAAGGCGGCTAAAATAACAAATCCGATAAAGGAAACAATTGTGTTTCGAGATGCCATATCTATATTAGATTTTTAAATTAAAAGTTCTGTTCAAATACTATTCAAATTCTCATGATTGTTAACCATGAAATCTATGATAAAAAGATAGAGGAAGACGACGGCACGTCTTGACCGGAGAGAAATTGTTTTTTGACGAGATGCCAGATTCAGGCCAATTAAATTGCATATCCTTGTGACAAACATAAGGGGCATAAATAAATATATCTATTAATCCATGCAAGGGCGAATGGTTGATTTGTATTTTGAAAACATTTTACTGATTTCTCCCAAAAATTTTAACATTTGGGAAAATATATTTTGTATGTATGTATATATCATTATATATATATATTCATTTATATATAAATCAATCGTACGGTTACAAAATGATTCTGCCGTGTCATCATTATTTGGATTCATCCCAAACGTAAAAACTGTGTCCTCAAAACCAAAGCTTTTCCCATCTCCTCTAAATTCGATTTATTCAAATTAAAGTTTCCTATTCAGTAATTTCAATGAAACGATTTTTACGTGAAATAAAAAAATTATCCCATGTTTGATGTTTATTCTGGCATTCGGTTTTTATAACGTCTACTTCAAATGTATAATATTAATGTCCCTGCTAGAATACTAAAATGTTCACAATTCATTTTCTTGCCCTTTATTATCTAAAATACAAATCTACTTTATTAAAAAAATTTAATTTCTTGGTGGCTCTAATATGGTTCATATGAACATTTTAAAAAAATATCATTTGACAGCAGACGTTATTTTGAGAATATTATTTCCTTTTTATTATTATTTTTTATTGTATTTTCTTTGATTTCTGTCGTTTATATATTTCTTTCCGGGTCCCGCCCAGGGACCTAAGGTTAGAAATGGCGTCATGACACTTTCCACTGACAAAAAAAAAAAAAAAAAATTACATAGATAAAGCCCTTCGTAAAGGTGTGGGCTGTATTTGTCAGAACAATTTTTGTATCTCCTTGAGGCATGGACTTCCAGGAATCCCTTCAATTAGTCTACTGGAATTTTTTCCAACCAGTCCTAGGGCTCCAACTACAACAGGGATTGTTGATGTTCCCATATGCCATTTTTCGAGATTTCTATTTCAAGGTCCTTGTATTTTGACAACTTTTTGAATATCTTCAAAGATACATTGCAGTCAGCAGGGACTGCCATATCAATAAGGAGGCACCGTTTTTGTTTGTGGTCTTTAATTAAATGTATCTGGCCGGTTGGCCTTGATTGTTCTGTCAGTGTGTATTGTGTAAACAGTAGAATTGTAACAGGTCCTATCTCCGTAACCGGGTCTGGGTGGTGTTCATACCAGTTTCTTTCAGTTTCCTTCCCGTAGAAAATTGCAGATTTTCCAGTGCAGATATTGGCCCACTGTCATGTCGGGTTTTATATTCAGTGGGGCTGCCAATATCGTGCAAACAATACAAGATGATCAATCGTTTCTGGATATTTATCACAGAATCTGCATTTTGGGCTGACACAATATTTTAGTATATGTGCTTGATAATTCCTAGTTAGCAAAACATTGGTCCTGTGCAGCAAGGATAAACCTTCATTTCCGCTTTCAACCCTGCACTACGTAGCCACTGATGGGTACGGGGTTTGTCTACGTCAGCTTGTTTGGTACGGGCAGGTATTGGCCATGAAAAATCTTTATCTTGCCATCGTTTCTGTATCTGGTCGGTTGCATTCGTCTTTGCTGTCTTTTTTAAAGTATTTTGCATTTTCAGCCGGTGTATTGTTGCTTTTTTTGCATCTCTAAAATTTTTGAAAACTCCATTTTGAAATTTGTTGGCTTCCTTCATTTTTCTAGAAGACGCTTACTAAAAGAAAATGTTCCTTAACGCATAATCATCATCCAGTCTTCTGTAGTTTCCAAATATCTTTGGAGGCCAATTGTTGTAGTTTTGTAGGACAGTTCTAGTTGAATTAATCCTCTGCCTCCTTCGGATCTGGGCACATACAGACGATCAACATCAGCTTTGGGATGATGCATGCGATAGCAAGTGAGAATATATTTCTCGTTTTGGCATCCATTCGCTTAATTTCAGCTATGGTCCAGTTAAGGACATTAAAGCTGTATTGCACCACAGGGACAGCCAATGTGTTTATATGCTGATATTCTGTTTTTTGAGTTCAGCTCAGTATTTAGTACCAGACGTACACGCCTGTTAGTATTCTTTTCTTATTTTTTCCTTCATTTGGGGTGTTGTATGCCATCTCCTTCGCTAATTCCTAGGTACTTATAAGCTTCATCCATGCTCCAGTTCCCTAATCTTTGTGACAAAATCTAAATCTATTAAGGGTGTTTCTTCTAATTCTACCTTTTTTGAATGTTACTTTTATTATTTATCTAATCCAGAAGTCCATACCTATGTCGTCACTGAAGTATTTTAAAATATTGAGGAGGCTTTTTCAACTCATTGTCGTCTTTGGGAAAAGAATTTGAGATCATCCATTTATTTTTCTTTGAATATTAATATTTTCTTATTTATTTTTTTTAACCAAAGTTGTTAACTAGTTGTTCAAATGTTCATATTTCAAGATTCTGGGATTAAGGAATTTTTAAAAATAAAGGTTGAAGATTTCTCCATTGAAATTCCATTGTTATTCAAAATTTTTTTAAAAAATTATGGCTGATAATCGAACCTGGTGAATTATTTTAATAATTTGGTGTTTTCATTTCTTCCATTATTTTTTTTTCAATTTTAAAAATTAATATTTCATTAACTTTTAATCTTTCGTAAAGGAATTCATTAATTTTTTTTTAACACTATCAACAGAGATTTTTCTTAGATCTAATCAATTTTCCAAATTTTATTTTAACCATTCTTTGTATTTATTGAAAATTTTGACATTTTATATACATTTTATTTTCATTTTGAATCTTTAAAATTTTTTTTTCTTTTCAATTAAAATGACATTTTTAAATTATTTGAAATTTCCAAATCATTTAAAATTTATTTATTAACGAAAATTTTTGAAAAGGTAATAAATATTCAATACATATATATACAGATTTTATATTCCTTATATTCCTGTTCGTCATAAATTATTTTAAAAAAATTATTATTATTATTGTCATCATCATCATCATTCGATTTCTGCTATGGACACACTACCTACCAAGTCTGCGGAAAGACCTAAGGCAGGTCGTGGTGTGTTTGTTATGGCCACATTTCATGTTAATTTTTTTTTTTTTTTTTTTTTTTTTTTCTCCGATGAAGTTGCTAGCGTTACATAGACAAAGTTCTCCTTAGTGTGTGTGCTGTACTTAATAAGACAATTTTCTGTATGTCTCTTAAGCTGGGGTTTCAGGGATTCTTTCAATGTGTTGTTTTGTTCCATTTTTTATAATTCCAAGTGCACCTATTACCACTGGTAT